ACATGTGAGTGTCAGGAACTGAGTCATACCCTCTCACCAATATTTCTTCCTCCAGATTTCACTGCGCCTGTGTAGGGTGGGTAAGGGATGGGCCTGAGACTATGAGGGTATATTTTATCTGTGTGTGAAACTATGAGAGAGTGACAATGCATGCCCGAAATACCAGTGACAGGAGGCGGAGCAAGGAGATTGCAATGAGCTGGAGGCTAACCTGGGACAGGCCAGCCTGTTCAAAGAAAACAATGACACAAATGATTGTATATAAAATAAGTGTGTTGTGGCTAGGGAGAAGGCTCACTCAGCAAGGGGCTGAACCACAAGGACCTGAATTTGGATGCCAGCACCCACATAAAAAGCTGGGTATAGCATGGCTACAGTATCAGAGCTAGATGGTGAGATTTGACGGGCAAAGTATCATGGATCCCTGAATTTACTGGCCAGCCTATCCAGGCAAATCAGTAAGCCCCAGGTTCACCAAGCAATCCTGCCTCAGAAAATAAGGAAGCAAACAATGGAGGAAGATATCCAATACTGAACTCTGACCTCTACACACAAACATGGACATACGTATACAGAAAGTCAAAATGTTAGATTTTTATCTACTGTTTGCAATGCTGAGCATCAAACACAAGACCTTGTATATTTATAAGCAAGTATAACATTTTGAAAGGTTTAACCTTCAGGAAGCTGGGGAAATGGCTCAGTGTGAGAGCTGACTGCTCTTGTAGAGGATCCAAGTTCAGTTCCCAGCACACACATTTGGCACCTCACAACTGCCTGTTATTCCATCTCCAGGGGATCTGATGCCCTCGTCTGGCCTCCGCAGGCACCACGTGCAAATACACATACCCACGCACATAAAGAATAAAATAAACACATTTTTAAAGGCATGTCATTCTTTAAGGGCCTTTATCAAAATCCCAGTTTTGTTGTCTTTTGGTGGTTTTTTTTCCTCTGAAATGGGGCAGGAGGGGAAGAGGCTGAAGTACACTGAGGCATAAGTTCTAGTCCTGTGACTGTCTATCAGTGTCCATACAGGACATCATGTTTACTGTACTGTAACACATAGAGTCTCCCTTGATCATACAAATGTTTATATTTGTATTTGTCATCCTCCATTGCAGTTCACTGATTATCAACAGTCTCCTAAACCATACATGCTCATCTTCCTTTGGGAAGGAGACAGATGTTCACACTCAACACTGACACTGAAATTAGAGAAACCAAGGTATCATTCCAGATGTACGCTAAGAAAACCTTTATAAGGAGCTGTTGTCAAGCTAACTTGCCACCTCTGAAGCACAAAGAAATCAAGATAAATCAATAGAAGGAAACTCTAGCCAATGACACATGTTTACCTTTTTATGACCTTTATTTGTGTAGGTAGGGGAGCGGGCATATGTGTAGAAGTCCAAGGACAACATGCAGAATTTGATCTTCTCCACCATAGAGGTTGTAAGGTTGTCCGGCTTGGTGGCAAGTGCCCTTACCCACTGATCCATCCTACCAGTCTCCCATGGGTATTCTCTAGAAACTGAGAAAAACGTGTTTTTAAATTAAAATCACCCTAAAATTCAAATAATTGGTCTGAGTTTTCACCACAAGTTGGATCAAAAATACTATTGTATTTCTTGAACTGTTACAGTGTTCTAGGCATAGGTCAAAGTTCCTTGTTCAGGTTGGGCCCAGCTGTGCATACCTGTGTAAGTAATCTCAGCACAGAGGAGGCTGAGGCAGGAGGACTATGAGTTCAAAATCAGCCTGGACTCCCAAGTGAGAATGTCTAGATTCATTACTTTTCTGTTCCTGGGATAAGATAACATTACCAAGGCAACAAGTGAAAACAAAACCAATAGTGCCTTACAGTTCCAGGAGGTTGGAATCCACAAGGACCAGAGCAGGTAGCAGCAGGCAGCAGCCTAGGAGGCTGGAACAGCCAGCTGGGAGTTCACATCTTGAACCACAAACACTAAGCAAAGAGCGCACTTTTTTGTTAGCTTGTTTGTTGTGCTAAAATTAATACTATCATTAGGATTCCCGTCTGCTGGTAGGGAGACTGGTTCAAATAATAGCTAAGTGTCCTCCTTCGAAGTCACACAACTAGGAAGGGTTAGCTAGGACTCAGACAGCCATGCTGTCTGACTTCAGCAGCCCTCTCTAACTCTGAACACCTTATTCCTCCTGTTGGAGCAAATGGGCCAGAAGAGGACTGCTTTGGCTAAGTGGCAAATACATATCTCTGTTTTGTGTGTCAGTATAAATTTGAGGTTCTTTTTTATTTTATGAGACCAGCTCTCTTTCTGTATGTTGACCCTCAAACCTACAATCCTCTTGCTCCTGCCTTGTGAGTACTAGCATGGCAGCTGTGTTGCACCATGCTTAGCTCTATTTCCTCTTTTTCTTTTATTTGTGATACTGGGTCTCAAACCCAGGACCTCTAGAGCCCACTAGTCAAGCACATCCTCAGCCACCTTACTAGTCCTGGAAGTTTTCCTGAAGAGTCTCATTCATAATTCTATGTTTTGCCGAGCAGTGGTGGTAAACTGTTTTCCTGGTTATAGTTAAAAGATGAAACCTTAGGCCATCATTAAAGTTACGTTTTTACAAATAGTGAGAATGTGTCTGAGTGTTTCTAAAATATGAAGCCATAAAGACGAAGCCGCCGGGCGGTGGTGGTGCACACCTTTAATCCCACCACTTGGGAGGCAGAGGCAGGTGGATTTCTGAGTTCGAGAGTTCGAGGCTAGCCTGGTCTACAGAGTGAGTTCTAGGACAGCCAGGGCTACACAGAGAAACCCTGTCTCAAAAAAAAAAAAAAAAAAGAGGACGAATCCACACCTCAGACACTAACCCACAAAGTAGGAAAAAGGTGGAGACGGTTTTACAGTAGCTATCATTAAGTGGATACTTGCTTCTCTTTTGCTATTTTATTTATGTGCATGGGTGTTTTGCCTGCATATATGTATGTATATATGCATTACATTCTTGTCTCGTCCCCAAGGAAGCTAAAAGAGGGTTTGGGGTCTCCTAGAAGTAGAGTTACAGACAGTTGTGAGCTACCATATGGGTACTGAGTATCAAATTTGTATCCTTTAGAAGATGAGCCAATACTTTTAACTGCTGGGCCATCTCTCCAACCCATTTCCTGGTTTTCTATAGATTTCATTTGTCAAATAATAAGATCTACTTCATCCCTTAAAAAGTTCATTGAAATGCTGGGTGGTGGTGTCACACACCTTTAATCCAAGCACTCCTGAGGCAGAGGCAGGCAGATCTCTGAGTTCAGATCCAACCTGGTCTATAATGTGAGTTCCAGGGTTACACAGAGAAAGCCTGTCTAAAAACAAATGAAAGGAAGGAAAGAAAAAAGAGTTATTCAGACCTTTTTCATTACGCAAGCATTGTATGTAACTTTTAATGGCGTCATCACACTCTGCTCTCTGAATGAAGGTGGACACCATTCAGACTAGATCCCCATGGCTACTTAATTAAAAAAAAAAATTCAATTCAGTTTCTTGCTCTCTTAAGCTCCATTAGCTGCAGGTGGCTAGTGACAGCTTTCCTATCATCTCCTCCAAAACTGTATTGAGCCAGGTGTGGTGACTCTGGGGGCAGGAAGGTTGCGTGAGTTCAAGGCCACACTAAACTACCTATGGAGACCCGGTCCATAGACCAAAATAACAGACCAAAATAAACCAAGAGTTGGGCTTGGTTGTGGCTTAGTCTGTAATCCCAGCACTCAGGAAGCTGGGAAAGGAGAATCCTGAGATCCGGACCAGACCTGGGTAGAGAATTGAGTTCCAGGTCATCTGTGACTAGCATGCTCGAGATCCTGCCTAAATAAATTAAATAAATAAATAAATAAATAAATAAATAAATAATAAATAAATAAATAAATAGATGTTTTGCACAGCACAGTTCTGAAAAAAAAAAGAATATGGAAATATGGACTCTGGAGCCAAAGCCTAGGTTCCTATGTGAACTGAGGCAATTTACACAACTTCTGAGGCTCTTTCCCTACAAGCAAGCTGAGTTGAATGTCAGTGACTGTGTACAAAGCTATGATGGTAAGCTAAGGATAAAGATGACATTTCTTTGAAACTTATGGTGTCTTCTTGCCCATAGAAATATTGCTTCACAGCTCCCTGAGTTAACCTGGCGTTTTATGGACTGAGTCCAAATCTGTGAATGGTTCACAAGATTTTGCCCAAATGTTATAAAAATCTGACTAGTCGAGCCGTGCAGTGGTGGCACACGCCTTGCCTTTAATCCCAGCACTTGGGAGGCAGAGGCAGGCGGATTTATGAGTTCGAGGCCAGCCTAGTCTACAGAGTGAGTTCCAGGACAGCCAGAGCTACACAGAGAAACCCTGTCTCAAAAAAAAAAAAAAAAAAATCTGACTAGTTAGTAGGACAGCTCCCTGGCCATTGAGACATCCCATTTCCTGTTGAAAACTTCAGTGCACAGCTCAGTAGCCACCTTGTAGGAAAATACCTCCTTGAAGTTTACTCTAATAAACACATTGCTGTATCTGGAGATATAATTTAATTGTAGAACACTTGCCTAGCATGCACAAGGCCCTAGGTTCCACCTTCATCAATGGGGGACAATATGTCCTTCACTTTCTATCAGTGTAATGGAAAGGTCTACCTTTTTTAAAAAACGAAATAAACAGGCTGTCTATAACAATAAAATTTGCACTGTGCTGTAGTGAAGTGATACTAGAGTCGAAAGTGCAGGAATGGAACAAAAGTCATTGTTTGTTACAAGAATTAAGATTTTCCCAAAAGATGACAACAAGTTCTCACAGCTTGATTATTTAAAGGCCACCTGCATTTCCACAGCGGCCTCCTCAATCTAATATCTCCATTCAGCACCCCACGACCTGGCTGTTTATGAGACTGCATCGCCAAAGAGTAAGCAGAAAGAAACAAAGGAAGTGACTCAGGGCGAAGTCCTTGCCAGGTTCCCCACTCATACTCTTCCTTTCTCTTTTGCAGGTTTCCACCAGCTGTGGATGCCTTTGACATTATGACTGCAGAAGATTCCACCACAGCCATGAACAGCGATCCAACAGTGGGGTCCTCCACAAAGGTACCAGAGGGTGTGGCGGGCGCACCCAACGAGGCTGCACTGTTGGCACTGATGGAGCGCACAGGCTACAGCATGGTACAGGAGAACGGGCAGCGCAAGTATGGTGGACCCCCGCCTGGCTGGGAGGGCCCGCATCCCCAGCGTGGCTGTGAGGTCTTCGTGGGCAAGATCCCACGTGATGTGTATGAAGATGAGCTGGTACCTGTGTTTGAGACCGTAGGTCGCATCTATGAGCTGCGCCTCATGATGGATTTCGATGGCAAGAACCGCGGCTACGCCTTCGTGATGTACTGCCACAAGCACGAGGCCAAGCGAGCTGTTCGTGAGCTCAACAACTATGAGATCCGCCCGGGCCGTCTGCTGGGGGTGTGCTGCAGTGTAGACAACTGCCGCCTCTTCATCGGTGGCATCCCCAAGATGAAGAAGCGCGGGGAGATCCTGGAGGAGATCGCTAAGGTCACCGAGGGCGTGCTTAATGTGATTGTGTATGCCAGTGCGGCAGACAAGATGAAAAACCGAGGCTTCGCCTTTGTGGAGTATGAGAGCCATCGTGCCGCAGCAATGGCACGCCGCAAGCTCATGCCGGGTCGGATCCAACTGTGGGGCCACCAGATAGCTGTGGACTGGGCCGAGCCAGAGATTGACGTGGACGAAGACGTGATGCAGACAGTGAAGATTCTCTACGTGCGCAACCTCATGATCGAGACCACCGAGGAGACCATCAAGAGGAGCTTTGGCCAGTTCAACCCAGGCTGCGTGGAAAGGGTCAAGAAGATCCGTGACTACGCCTTCGTGCACTTCACTAGCCGTGAGGATGCTGTGCACGCTATGAATAACCTCAATGGCACGGAGCTGGAGGGTTCCTGCTTAGAAGTCACGCTGGCCAAGCCTGTGGACAAGGAGCAGTACTCCCGCTACCAGAAGGCAGCTAAGGGTGGTGGCGGCTCAGCTGAGGCAGTAGCGCAGCAGCCCAGCTACGTGTACTCCTGTGACCCCTACACACTGGCCTATTATGGCTACCCCTACAACGCTCTCATCGGGCCCAACCGGGACTACTTCGTGAAAAGTTAGTGGACACTCTTCTCTTGAGGGCCCCGTGGGTGTCCAGCCCCCTAGACAAGGGTGTTAGATTGAGCTGGCTCCAATTTACTAGGCCCTACCCATTTAGGTTGAGGTTGTGAGCACTGACTCAGTCACAATTGCAGTATGGAGAGAAACGCCTCTCTTTGAGCAGTCACATCATTGGGACACTTTGTCTTTTGCTAGGGCCGAACCTATGTAGAGCAGGCCTGCTTATTATTCCTTGGAGATTATGTTACAATCTGATTCTGAGCCATGCCTGCAATCTCAACCTTCTAAAGGGTGGGGCTAGAGGATTCCTAGTTTGAGGCCAGCCTGGGTTGTCACTTCTGAAGTTAAATCTTAAGGTGTTGGTTAGCGAAGTCGTGGTTTCTTATAGTCACTAAGGATACAAGACCAAGCATGACACTAGAAAACATAACATAGGTTCAGGGACCTACTGTCCTACACTACTGTTCACTGGGCCTGAGTTAATAATATCCTCTGCCTTTTTTTTTTTTAAAGCACAAAATGAGGAAGGAAGATGGGGACATCCCTTTCCAGATCTAACTTTTTCAAACTCTAAAATTGAAGTTGCAATTACAATCCCTGGAACTCACCTTGAGTTAAGCTGGCAGATTAGAAGGTTAAAGTAGATCAAAATAGGTCATCGCCATCATCTCAGCCCATTGAAGGACGTAGTTGTGGCCACCTGCCACTTAGACAGGGGGCAAACGAAAAGGCCCCTGAACCATCCCTGTCGCTGGCTCACCCTTTTTTTGTGTGTTGTTATTTTAAGCAGGCAGCATAAGAGGCCGAGGGAGAGGCGCAGCTGGAAACAGAACCCCAGGGCCCAGGGGTTCCTACCTCGGAGGATATTCTGCTGGCCGTGGTATATATAGCCGATATCACGAAGGCAAAGGCAAACAGCAAGAAAAAGGATATGAGCTTGTTCCGAATTTGGAAATCTCTACTGTCAATCCAGTTGCTATTAAGCCTGGCACAGGTCAGTACAAACCAGAGTAAATGCCTCATTTGGTCCTAAACCCCAACCCCTTCTTTTGAGAGAGTCCCAGTCTTCATGGCTCTTAGATCTTGCATGGATTCTTCTGTCCTTCTGTAAAAAAGAACACCCCATCCCTACCCTGACTATCTAGAATGTATCTATCTAGAATGTAGGGGAATGGTCTAGTTCAGGCCCCGTTCACGTTAGACTGTGACTGCCAGGGAGTTTTTCAGACAGGTGCCGCCCACCAGTCCCCGGGCTATTTCTCTGTCTGTGACCTAGTAGTAAGCAGAGACAAGAGTGGGAAACAGAAGGGAAGGGTATGAGACTCCCTGACTCCTGTGTCTAGAACTTGTCTTTTTCTTGCAAATGTAGGCAAACACCCCATCATTGAGCTATGTCCCAGCTGTGCTTCAACCAGCAGAAAGCAAAGGGTACGGGGATGACCAGTTTTGAGAGAAAGTAGAAACTTCTTTTCCAGAGCAAACAGTGCCAGTTTTCCTGTGATTAACAGCACAGATGAAGCAACAACAGGGAAGGTTTTTACAACTGGATTCTCCCGTCCATAGAATAGAGGGACTCAGTTGTGTGAGCCAAGGACCTTGAACTTTGATTTTGCCAGTAGACCCCACAAACTTATCTGCCAGCATTGTTGGCAGAATGGCCACCCGCTTTGAGGAAGGCTAAGAATCTGTAGCTGTGTTTGAGTTTGGCAAACCCATTGTTTGCAGATTCTCCATACACTAACCTCTGAACCCATGCCGAATTCCTTCTGTGGATAACAAGAATGATTCCCTCCCTGGCTCTTGGCCTCACTGAGGGCAGTAGAGAGACCTTTTACAGGGCATCCGCTCCCTTCCTGATTGCATTCTTCTTTTCCTAGAGAATAGGCAAGGAATTGGTATGTTTGAAGCATAGGTTTAAATTGATGCCATGGACACTGAACAGTCTATAGCCATGTGAAGTACTGTGTCGTGGGTAGAGAGTCCTGTAGGCTGGTAGCCAGAGTAGTGCAGATACTCTGTGAAGCCCCATGTGGTTTCAACTAGTAGCCCAAACTGAATCTCAACCTTTTCTGATCATTCATTTCAAGTTACAACTTTGTCCTTCTGAGAGAGAGAGAGACCAGGGCAATGCTAAAAGTATTTGGGCACAAGACTAGTGAAAGACTGGATTGGAAAGAAAGAATGGTATTTGGTTATGATTTTTAGGTTTCTTTATTTTTTAATTGAATGGCCAAGCCATTGTTTATCTTACGATCGCTTTGCCTCTTTACCTTTGATCGCATTCATCTTCATAGAAGAAACATGCTTACAGTTGGAGAGAAAACATAAAGGAAAGGGCTCTCGGTGTGCAGGTTTCGTGTTCCTGCTTATCCTTTCAGTACACACAGCATGGGCACGCACAGGCTCCCGCAAATCGGGTCTAGCATCTCTTCCTTTTGATCTCTTGCTGTTGCCCATCGTTGAGTAACTCTATCTGTTTGAATCTCTGCTTGAAGCTGTTCCTTTGGACTCTCCTCACAGAAATTATTTGCGTTGGCAGGTTCGAGTGAAAAAGCCAATCACCCATTGCTTCACTACTATAAATGGATGTTAGCACATGGGAGGCTTTTCCACTTTCTACTCAATCTCCCCCCACCCCAACACACACACGCAATTGGATCAGTAATATTAAATGAAATACAAGGTGGCGGGGATGATATACTCACGTCTCTAAGCTGTCAGAATGATAACCTTATTCAACCTGCCTCTTAATACCTTGTCAAAATGCAAAGGGCATCGAATAATAATAAAATAATAATATAAGCAGAGCTCACACTCACGCATGTTAGGAAACGTCAGTGCACACGCCTCACTGGAAATGCTCCTGCCGGGGCGCGCTGTGGAGAAACTCCATTCCGATGTGGGTGGCGTCAAGCCAAGCAGAGCTGTGTGAATGCGCAGAGGTGTAGGGCTGCTAACCTGAGTTTTAAGATGTAACCAGCAAGGGAAGGCTCCTCCTCAGCGGTCGCGAGGGATGCACCTGTCTTACTCCTGCTTCTCTTGCAGTGGCCATCCCTGCCATCGGTGCCCAGTACTCCATGTTCCAGGCAGCCCCAGCCCCGAAAATACTTGAAGATGGCAAGATCCACACAATGGAACACATGATCAGCCCCATCGCAGTGCAGCCTGACCCCGCCACTGCTGCTGCCGCCGCTGCTGCCATCATTCCTGCGGTATCCACACCACCACCTTTCCAGGTAGAGTTCTTGGCATGCTGGGATTTATATATGGAGCCCCTCAGAGTTCTTGCTGTGGCTGCTATCATTTTATCTATGGAGCCTTTCTGAGTCATAGACTCATTCAGCACTGAGAATATTTAGTGCAATGATATTTTAAAATACGTGTTTTGTTTTGTTTTCGGGGCAGGAGATCAAGCTTAGGGTGTTATACATGTTAGGCAAATATCCCCCCCACTGTGATAGACTCCTAGCTCTTAAAAAAATATTTACTGGGAAATAGCAAGAAAGGAATGCTAGCTCTATGAAGATTGTTTTTCAGTTTATTATTTTTAAATGTATGTATATGGGACCAGTATGGCTCAGCAGGTAAAGATGCTTGCTTCTACATATGATGACCAATATCCAGGACCCACATGGTGAAGGAGAAAGCCACCTCTGGCTTTCCTCTATGTGTGGACTGTGATACATGACCTACCTCTGACCCCATACACACACACACACACACACACACACACACACACACACACACACCAACCCAGATATGCCTAAATGGACATGTAATTCATCAAAGTTTTTTTAATGGAGTTGATACAAATAGTCCTCCTCCCCCCCAGCTAAGACTCGGACTGTGATTGCAAATTCATCTTGTCTTTTTGCACGTTCACCCTGGCTAACTCTTAGGATCTGACTCTCCCCTTCATCTCTTCTGTCTCCCCTCCTCCTGCCCAAATATCCTCTCCTAGACCTCTCATTAATACGTTATTCTGTGGCTTATGACTGCCACTTTGTTCTTTCTTGGAAAGCTGCCCTCCAGGACTAAGCGTCTCCATTGTGTAGCACATGGAGAAGGCATCTGTCGAGCAGAAGAAAAAAAAAATCTTAAAAGTATTTCTCTCCGAATGAGTGACTGAATCATACGTTTGAATGACCCAGGTCTCTCAACTCATTGAACAACAATTTCCAGGATGTGTATTTTGAAAAGCAGAAATCTCTGTCTATGCTAGATTGCATGTCATTTGGGCTGGGCTGGGTTCTAGACTCCTGTTGTGTACAGTTTTCTCAGGTGATTTTCCAATGGCCAGGCATCTGAATTGTCATAGCTAGTCACTTCCCTTTTCTTCTCTATACTAAGCCTCAACTACTGTATTCAGAAAGGGCTAAACCAGTTGGAATTATTCACACATCAACATGTTACTAAGAGTTTTTTTTCAATTCAAGGCCTTTTTGTTATCTTTTGCTTTTGAGATGTAATCTAGATTTATAGCCCATACACACCCCATACCTCTTACAAATAATTTTTTTAATGTACCACACTATTTAATAATAAGATTTAAGTTTAGAGGGTTGGAGGGATGGCTCAACAGTTAGATAATGTATGTAAAGTATATATATATATATATAATCAGCCACAGGAAGAGCTCTGAGGGGCTCCATATATAAATCCCAGCATGCCCTTTCTGAGGACTCAGGTTTTGTTCCCAGAACCCACAATTGCCTATATAACTTTAGCTCCAAGTTAAGACAGGGAGTCGTTGTGGCCCTGGCTGGCCTCACAGAGATCTGCCTGCCTCTTCCTCCTGAGGACGGATTAAAAAAAGTGTGGGCCACCACCGCCTGTCCTTGACTAAAGGTTTTGATGCCTTAATAAAATCATACAAATAAGGCTCCATAATAAGAACAGTGCCTGGAGTCTCCGTTTTGCGTATGATCATCATTGCCATAGTTATCCTCAAGTTAGGTAGAAGTTCTTTTGAACATAGTTTTGTGAGTCTGATTTCTAGATTTTGTAATAGAGATAACGTTATCCTTGATTAGAATCTCGGAATCCTAGTATATCGGAGGTAGAGGCAGGAAGATCAGGACTTCAGAATCATTGAGATATAGTTCACTGGAGGCCTGACTGCTACATGAGAGACTCTGTCCCAAAACAACAAAGGAATTAAAAACTTTAGGAAGCAGCCACATCTGTGGCACAGACCTGTAATCCTAGTTACTTGGGAGGCCAAAGCAGGAAGGTGGGAAGTTCAAGGCTTATCTAGTCAACAGAGCAAGTACAAAGCTAGTCTGGGTGAGTTAGATCCTATCTCAAAATAAGAGGTTAAATAAGAATAATTATAATAACTTTGTTACTATTATAAAGCACAGGTGCTGAAGCACATTTGATAGTACACATTTGATGTGTTCTAGCTTCAATTCACAGCAATGGAAAGGAAAAAAGAACCTATGAAGACCTTGCTTTTTAAATATAGCTTTCCATTTCATATAGCCTAGATTACTTATTCTGAAGTTAGAGTAAGATGCAGAAAAGATACCAGCATTTAGTTTCAGGCCATTCTGTGGAACATAAGGCACACCAAATGCTTTATTATTTCTTGCGTGGTGTTTTATTTTTGCCCCAAATCCAAAACTAAATCCAGATATTGACCGTCACAGTCTTGCCTCACCTCCCCGGCCCCCCCCCCACACACACCCTATTTGTTATAGGAATCTGATATGCTACACTTTCCCTGGGATCCTTAAAAAGTAGTGTTCTTAAGCAGATCCCCAGCCCCCTCTTTGCAGCTTTCACTGACCAAATAGAATGATCAATCAAAGATTCCAGTGTATAAGAACTCTGGCTCAACCTGCAACCTCAGGCTTTGACACGTGTCTGAACACTGAATTTGAGTGCATCGAGCCATTCAAGGATGACATTTTGCTCTGTCTAGTCTCTTTCTCCTGTAGTGTCACTCACCTGCTTCTCTGCCTAGACGTCTTCTCTCCTTCCCCACTGGGGTGCACATTGTTTGAATAGATGATAAACCTGCACGTAGGCTCAGCAAGGACTTTTGTTTGTCTGTCTGTCTCTCAGGGCCGTCCAATAACTCCTGTATACACTGTGGCACCAAATGTTCAGAGAATCCCCACCGCCGGCATCTACGGGGCCAGCTACGTCCCCTTTGCTGCTCCTGCCACTGCCACAATCGCCACACTACAAAAGAACGCTGCGGCCGCCATGTACGGGGGCTACGCCGGCTACATACCTCAGGCCTTCCCCGCTGCTCTCCAGGTGCCCATCCACGACGTCTACCAGACTTACTGAGACCGGGGACCAGAGCCGAGGCAAGCCACCAAACCCTGCTGAAGGAACACTTTATTATTTATGAAGAAAGAACATGCCGGGTTGGCATGCGTGCAAAACCTGCAAGTGAAGAAGAATGTTATCAAATAGCACACTGAAATATTTTATATCCATGAAGTTTTCACTCGCATTTTTTTGAAAATGACTTTTCAACTTAGCAGGCCCGCGTTCACACATTTCTAAGAGACTTGCGACGCCTCACGCCTTAATACCATCTTTTCAAACATGTATGCTCCGCTGCATTTGTACAGAGGTTTGGTTTTGTTTTTTAAGGATATATTTTCAGTATGAAGGTTATTTTCTTAACTTCTGCACTCCAGAGTTTTCTATTTTGTAGAAACTTTCAAAGTATATCAGCTATATATATGTGTATATCAAAAAAAAAAGAAAAAAAGAAAAAAAGAAAAAGCAGGCCCTCTCATGTAGGGAACTATTTTGAAAACTATATTCAATATTTAAAGACACAAACTGTAGTGCTCTGAAATACTACATGAAACATTATTTTATTTTTAAGGTGATGCTGGAAAGTGCAATTTTAAAATGAGAAAAAAAAAGTCTCTACTGTATTTCCACTGGCATTAAGGGTTGAAGATACTGCCGTGTATTCTCATGTTTTCTGGGTTTATGGGAGTTTTGGGTTTTTGTTTTTTGTTTTTTGTTTTTTTTTTACAGTCTGTTCTTAAGCCAACATGGAAAAAGACTCCTCGCACCCAGAGTCCCAACACTGGAAAGCTCTGACCTGCCCTCAGTTCCTTGGGCTCACTCTGTGTGTCTCTATTGTTAACTATGCCCCGCCCCCACCCGTTTTCCTCCGCCTCCTTCCCTAGCTCCAGTGCAACTTTGAAGTTTGGCATATCTAAGAAAAATGGATAATTCGAATAGAGATGCCTTTTATACTTCTTCCTGGGATTTCGTTGGGGTCTTTTTTATTTAATTTGGTTTTATCTTCTATGTGTTTTCAGTAGCAGAATGCACATAAGGACAAGATTTTACCATGTTTGCCTAAGGCATCTTTGCATAGCTATTTAATTGTTCAGTATGAAACCTTACCTTTCTAATTCTTTGATTTTTTTTTTTTTTTGAAGTCTGAGTTTTTAGAGACCAAGAATGTATGTGATTATAGACAAGACCTTCAAGACTTGTCAAGGGGAAGTTAAGCTTCCCATGCCTTCTTGTGTTTCCTACAGAATGCCTGTGGTCATCAGGGATGTTGGAAGCACTGTGCTCTTTAACAGGGCTTCCCTCAGTTATTCTGCATTTGGTAGGTGAACACGGAGCATACAAATCCAGGAGGGAGACCTTGTAAGAGTTTAAGGGTAGTTTGTACATAACTTCTGATGCTTGCTCGTAGACCTTCTCTGTTGCCAAAGTTCATGGCCTGTAGTCTAAAGCAAAAATGCAGCCATTTTATTTCAATGTTATTAAAAGTGTTTGCTTATTTTTTTTTTTTGGAAGTAAATACACAGATGCAGGGTTTTGTGCCTGTTTTAAGGCTTTTCTTTGGCAGAGTGAATGTAAAATACAGTAAAATGATAATATCGTCATCTCTTTTATGAATTACATCATCTTGCATCTTATTAAAAAGGCTCAGTCCACGATGTGAGGTGTGCAATGTGGTAACAGATACATGGTTGTATTTTATGGCATAACAGAACCCATCAAATCTTTCTTCCCATCAGAGTTTTGCTAATCGGCTTAACTCTGATTTGTGGATTCATAGTAGAATCATGCCCTTAGCAAATGCTTTTTGTTTTTAAATTAAGAGATTCCCAAATGTCTTTTCCCCCTTATCTTGATGGGATGGATTTTTATATATAAGAAATATTTATTTAACTATTCTATAAAATTATCGAGTGCCTGCTAAAGCCTTTAAGCATCCCTCCATCCTTGTTGAGTGACATAAATCAGCTATGCAGTATTCTAAGGATTCTCCCAGGAAGCTGCAGCTACACAGGCCTGTTGGGATGAGTGACGTCATTAATGGTATCAGATTCTCATCCCTTGACTTAGTGAAGAGGAAGTGTCCTCCTTCTTGCCATGGACTGACACGGAGGTTTCCAGATAGAACACTGACTTGCTTACCCTTGTTCTTACTGTATTTTACAAGTGGAAAAAATTTTTTCAAAAATAATATTAATAAGAATAAAGAGAAAAAATATGCACTAAGTTAACATGGCAACTACCTTAACAACAGTCATTGGTGACAGCCAATTAAGCACCAGTGGCCCTGCAGTCTGTGGTCTTACCTGTCCCTCTTGTTTCTCAACCATTTCACGTACACTACTGAGGTAAGTTTATAACTTGAAATGTGAACTTTTTTGGGGTTTTTTTGTTTTGTCTTGTTTTTGGTTTTGCTTTTTTTTTTTTAGGATTAAGAACAAACTAATATAAATGTTTTTAAAAGTTTTAGAGTTTGGGTTTTAGATATGCTACTAGTTTAGTTTTTAGCTTCATGTTTGAAAAGCTTTTTAGATCTTGCTGCATTTACACACAGTACACTCTTAAGTTGTATGTGGTAAATAAAGCTTTCTTTAAAGCAGTTTCAAGACTTTCTTTTCCTTTAAAAATAAAATCGGGAAGCTTTTGCAACAATGGAGGTATTGCACAAATTCAGTCTTTGCAGTTGGGGAAAACAACCATGTGTTGGAAATGTGGCGGAAAGTGGTTACAATGTTGAATAATCTATCGGTATCCTCAGAACTTCAGCTCGGCGCCCTCAAAACTCCCCAGCATGTGGATTCAGGTGGGGCATGACAGAGCCTGTCACTCCTTCCCGTGGTGATGCTTCCCAGTCAGAGGAGACTTGAGGCAGCTATGATGCGAGTTCACAAACGCACTGGCTGACCTCCATGTTGGGCACTGCATCGAAAGCAAAGCCTGTGCTTCTCCTTTCCCCAATCCTCGGGAATGTTTCAGAACACTCCCTGAAGAGTGTCACTCAAATCAGACAGTATCCCCTATCAAAGCTTAGCAAGTAACTGGAGACAAAATGACAAGTTGTCAGAATTGTCAGACTTCTCAGACCTGCTCCACCTGGCTCCGTGGGTTTGTTAATAATTGTTTGCCTGTTTTAATAATTTCATTTTATTTGATGTGCATTGGTGTTTTGCCGCATGTGTGCCTGTCTGTAAGTAGGCATCCTGGAGTTACAGACAGTTGTGAGCTGCCATGTGGTTGCTGGGAATTGAACCCAGGTCCTCTGGAAGAGCAGTCAGTGCTTTTAACCACTGAGCTATGTCTCCAGCCCAGGAGATTTTGGTTTTGTTTTGAGGGTTGGAGTGTTGAGACAAGGTCCTGCTGTGTGCATCCCAGACCAGGTTCCTACCTTAGCCTCTCAAATTCTGGGCCACTGTGCCAGATTTGAATTTTTACCTTCTTAATTTGAACTAGGGTCATGACCTCTCACCATACATTCCCTGAAATCCCAGTGTCTGTAATGTATAAAAGGAGTAGACCAGGGTTGGACACTTCTCAAGAAAACATACCGTTAGGCAATGAGGAGTGCTGGTTTGTTTTGTTTTATGGAGATTCTGTGTAGGTGTAGACCACATGTATGTCACTGGTATGTGGGTGCCCACAGAAACTAGCATCTTCTTCGGGAGCAGGAGTGACAGGCAGTTGAGAGCTGTGGATGCTGGGAACTGAACTCAGGTCCTCTGCAGATGTGCCACGCTCTTAACCATGGAGTCATCTCTCGAGTTCCACTTCCTGCTGTATGTTAAAAAGTCTTTTTTGCTTGTTTGTTTAAGACAGGCTCTTGTGTGTAGCCAAAGCTGGGCTTTGAACCCCTGATGCTCTTTCTTCTGCTCCCTTGGAGTTGGGATTTTAGCGACTTTTTTTCGAGACAGAGTTTCTCTGTGTAGCCCTGGTTGTCCTGGAACTCGCTCTGTAGACCAGGCTGGCCTCGAACTCAGAAATCCACCTGCCTCTGCCTCCCAAGTGCTGGGATTAAAGGTGTGCGCCACCACCGCCCTGCGTGACATTTTTTTAAAAAGACCCACTCTGTTCTTGTTCAAGGAGAAAAGTGCCCCTACCCTCGGTTCAGCTAGGAACAGCTCAAATCCATGCAGATTAGCACCTCTCCCAGCTACAGGCTTGATCAGAGCAGCTGTACATTTGTTCCTTCACACGGGTGGCGCTGCCCTTCTGAGGGGGAGAATACAGAACCAGGAGCACTTCCAGGTGAGAATAGATATGATTGTGTGCCCCAGGCTCTAGCTCCCTTGTCTTTATGATAAACATTTAGGTGGGACAGATAGGGACTAGCCAAAGTCACAGAGTTAGCAAGCCACCTAGGCTCCAGGCCAAGGGTCTCTCTGACTGCACGTTAGAAAATTATGAGAAAAAAAATTAGAAAAAAATTTTCATTAGAAAAAAATGAGTCCATCTAGCTGGGTGTGAAAAGAAAACAGGTTGTCTGGTTTTGCCTTGTATTGCATTTCCATGTGCAGCTAGGGGTCTTGGGATAGAAGGTGGGATGTTGCCGGCCGACAGATGTTGTGAGCTCCATGTGGGAGCTGGAACTGAACCTGGGTCCTCTGGAAAAGCAGCAAGTGATCTTATGTGCTTTTCCCCAACTTATCTCCCCAGCTTCCCTGAAATGACATTTTGATATTGTCACCTCTTTTATTAAAAAATTGTATTTTCAGCTTTTTCAGGCATCACCAAATAAGAGGTCACTGGCACATCCACTATGTCCTACTTTTGTCCCATCTCTGAGTCTCAAAATCAAGGGGGAAGTTCAGGCTTAACAAAGAAATGACTTCCAAAATCTACAGACTGCTTTCCCTTTGGTCCAAAGGCTAAGTCAGAGGGTCTCAACGTTGTGTTTTAATAAAAAGGAAAAGAGAAGACAGGGATATGTTTGTTGGAGGTGCGATATGGTGTGGAGGAAGGGGGTGCCCCTGCAGGCCCATGCTGAGGCATCCCTTCCCCTTGAGGGACTAGTCACAGATGGTATAGTATAAAATAGAGTTAATTCAGGGCATGGGGAGGGGACTTGAGAGAGTAGAAACAGAGGCAGAGATTTATATTATGATTCATAACAGCAAAACTACAGACAAAAATGCTTTTATTGTTGGGAGGTCAGCACCACATGAGGAACTGTATTAAAGGGCCACAGTGTTAGGAGGGTTGAGAACCACTGGATCACCACACAGGATCCCCTCCTGTACCCTGCTCTTGCTAGTGCCCAGGATTGGTCCATTTTCTAATTCCTCATGCTACAACGCACAGAAAAAAATGATATCTCAGACGCTTCCTCTATAAGCGGGCTGAGTGTCCCACAGAGCATCTTCAGTTTCTAATCAGAATGCCTGAAGGAACTTCCAGCTTTGCTTCTTGAAGATCACATGACCTGGGGGGGGGAAGCCTTCCAATCATGTGATCTTGAAAAACAAGGTCATCTGACCTTGAGGTTATAATGTGTTCAAGAGTCATAAAAGCCTGATATGTTAGCCGGGCAGTGGTGGTGAACGCCTTTAATCCCAGCACTTGGGAGGCAGAGGCAGGCAGATTTCTGAGTTCAAGGCCAGCCTGGTCTACAGAGTGAGTTCCAGGACAGCCAAGGCTATACAGAGAAACCCTGTCTTGGAAAAAACAAATTATCAAAACAAACAAAAAAACAAACAAAAAAAGAAGATAGTCTCTAGGTTCCACAAGCTGGCTGGCCTTGAACTTGCTCAGTATTCCAGACAGGTCTTAGATTTTTCAATCCCCCTGCCTCAGCCTCCCCAGTAGCTAGGGTTACAAACTTACAGGTCTAAGCCCTAACATGAATGAATTCCTCTCTGTAATCCCTCAAGCCTTTCCATCTGAAGCTCGAATTGTTTAGTTTTAGTTTTGTTTTTGTG